GGTACAGGACAACACATCATGGTACAACACAACACATCATGGTACAGGTCAACACATCATGGTATAGGTCAACACATCATGGTACAGGACAACACATCATGGTACAGGTCAACACATCATGGTACAGGACAACACATCATGGTACAGGATAACACATCATGGTACAACACAACACATCATGGTACAACACAACACAACATGGTACAACACAACACATCATGGTACAGGACAACACATCATGGTACAGGATAACACATCATGGTACAACACAACACATGTTACAACACAACACATCATGGTACAACACAACACATCATGGTACAGGTCAACACATCATAGTACAGGACAACACATCATAGTACAACACAACACATCATGTACAACACAACAGATCATGGTACAACACAACACATCATGGTACAGGACAACACATCATGGTACAACACAACACATCATCGTACAGGACAACACATCATGGTACAACACAACACATAATCGTACAACACAACACATCATGGTACAACACAACACATCATGGTACAGAAGAACACATCATGGTAAAATACAACACATCATGGTACAACACAACACATCATGGTACAACACAACACATCATGGATTTCATGGATTTCATGCTCGAAATCCAACATGGATTTCGAGCGGGAAGATCGTGCCTCTCACAGCTACTTGAGCTCTACGACAAAGTCACTGAGGCATTAGAAGAGAAACAGAATGCTGATGTGATATACACGGACTTCGCAAAGGTTTTCGATAAATGTGACCATGGCGTGATAGCACACAAAATTAAGTCAATGGGAATAACCGGTAAAGTAGGACGCTGGATACTCAGTTTTCTGTCAAACAGGACTCAGCGAGTAACTGTCAACCATATAAAATCTAGTCCAAGTGCAGTGAAAAGCTCTGTACCTCAGGGTACAGTCCTTGCACCGCTGCTTTTCCTTATTCTCATATCAGATATAGACAAAAATACAAGTCACAGCTTCGTATCATCCTTTGCAGATGACACAAAAAACAGTATGAAAATTACCTCGGCTGAGGACATTGAAAAACTTCAAGCTGATATTAATAAAGTTTTCGACTGGGCATCAGAAAATAACATGATGTTTAACAGTGATAAATTCCAGGTACTCAGGTACGGCAAAAATGAGGACCTTAAACATAATACAGAGTACAAAACACAATCAAATGTACCCATAGTAGGAAAACAGCATGTCAAGGATTTGGGAATAATAATGTCTGACGACCTAACGTTTAAGGAGCATAACCAAGCAAATATTGCGACAGCCAGAAAAATGATAGGATGGATTACGAGAACTTTCAAATCCAGGGATCCCATCACAATGGTTGTACTCTTCAAGTCACTTGTGTTGTCCCGTCTCGAGTACTGCTCAGTACTCACTTCCCCCTTCAGAGCAGGAGAGATTGCTGAAATAGAGGGAATACAGAGAACATATACGGCACGCATAGATGCAATAAAGCACCTAAATTATTGGGATCGTCTCAAAGCCCTCCAAATGTACTCACTAGAAAGAAGACGAGAGAGATATCAAATAATATACACCTGGAAGATACTGGAGGGCCAAGTACCAAATCTACACAGTAAAATAACAACGTACTGGAGTAAACGATATGGAAGAAAATGTAGAATAGAACCAGTGAAGAGCAGAGGTGCCATAGGCACAATCAGAGAACACTGTATAAACATCAGAGGTCCGCGGTTGTTCAACGTCCTCCCAGCAAGCATAAGAAATATTGCCGGAACAACCGTGGACATTTTCAAGAGGAAACTAGATTTATTCCTCCAAGGAGTGCTGGACCAACCGGGCTGTGGTGGGTATGTGGGCCTGCGGGCCGCTCCAAGCAACAGCCTGGTGGACCAAACTCTCACAAGTCAAGCCTGGCCTCGGGCCGGGCTTGGGGAGTAGAACTCCCAGAACCCCATCAACCAGGTATCAACCAGGTATGGTACAACACAACACATCATGGTTCAGAACAACACATCATGGTACAACCCAACACATCATGGTACAACCCAACACATCATGGTACAACACAACACATCATGGTACAACACATCATAGTACAGGATAACACATCATAGTACAACACAACACATCATGTACAACACAACAGATCATGGTACAACACAACACACCATGGTACAGGACAACACATCATGGTACAACACAACACATCATGGTACAACACAACACATCATGGTACAACACAACACACCATGGTACAGGACAACACATCATGGTACAACACAACACATCATGGTCCAACACAACACACCATGGTACAGGACAACACATCCAACCCGTTCTCGCAAATTTAATAAGTCAATATTGACTTATTAAATATGTGCATAGGTGACATACTTAACATAATAGATACCCTTAAAAAGATTCATAGAAAACACCGACCTTACCTAACCTTGTTAGCATCTTACGATAAGCATCTTATTGCTTCGTAATTACAATTATTACCTAACCTATAATAGGTATAGGTTAAGTAATAATTGTAATTACGAAGCAATAAGATGCTTATCTTAAGATACTAACAAGATTAGGTAAGGTCGGTGTTTTCTATGAATCTTTTTAAGGGTATCTATTATGTTTAGTATATCACCTATGCACGTAGTTAATAAGTCAATATTGACTTTACGAATTTGCGAGAACGGGTTGCAACACTGAAAACTGAATTACTGAATTATTACTAGAATTACTAGAATTACTGAAAACTCATCGCCGTTTTCAGTAATTAGCCTATTTTCGGTATAAAAAGTTGTAATTTCAAACTCCAAATATGTGCAGTGTGCCATTATTCGGGTCAAAAATAACGCTCATGAGTCAAATTTGTGATATTTCCGATATTTTGAAAACTGCAGGGGGGGGGGGCAAAATGGGACCCATCGCTGTTTTCACTAATTGACACATTTTCGGTATAAAAAGTCGCAATTTCAGGACGGAAGCGTCCTTGCCTCAAGCTAGACTATGCTTGTGTAAATAAAGATTCAGATTTAAATATTTTTTATTGCAAAACTAAGGTTACCACATTCATTGTAATAAATATATTAATAAAATACATTATACTTGAATACATTGTACAAAAATATATATATCTTAAAAGGAATAAGCATAAGAGAGAATTTGATTTCAGTATTAGTTAAATAATTTATAATTATAAATGAAAGAAATATTGTGTGAGTCAATTACTGTGGTGGAGTGGATCCTGCCACAGCCTAAGTGTTATGTGGATCATTGTGGTGTTGTGGAGCATGTTGCAGGGACCATGAAACATGCGTATGTGTGGAGCATGTTGCAGGGGCCATGCAACATGCGTATGTGTGGAGCATGTTGCAGGGGCCATGAAACATGCGTATGTGTGGAGCATGTTGCAGGGGCCATGCAACATGCGTATGTGTGGAGCATGTTGCAGGGACCATGAAACATGCGTATGTGTGGAGCATGTTGCAGGGGCCATGCAACATGCGTATGTGTGGAGCATGTTGCAGGGGCCATGAAACATGAGTATGTGTGGAGCATGTTGCAGGGACCATGAAACATGAGTATGTGTGGAGCATGTTGCAGGGGCCATGAAACATGAGTATGTGTGGAGCATGTTGCAGGGACCATGAAACATGCGTATGTGTGGAGCATGTTGCAGGGACCATGAAACATGCGTATGTGTGGAGCATGTTGCAGGGACCATGAAACATGCGTATGTGTGGAGCATGTTGCAGGGGCCATGAAACATGCGTATGTGTGGAGCATGTTGCAGGGACCATGAAACATGCGTATGTGTGGAGCATGTTGCAGGGACCATGAAACATGAGTATGTGTGGAGCATGTTGCAGGGACCATGAAACATGAGTATGTGTGGAGCATGTTGCAGGGACCATTAAACATGAGTATGTGTGGAGCATGTTGCAGGGACCATGAAACATGAGTATGTGTGGAGCATGTTGCAGGGACCATGAAACATGAGTATGTGTGGAGCATGTTGCAGGGACCATGAAACATGAGTATGTGTGGATCATGTTGCAGGGACCATGAAACATGAGTATGTGTGGACCATGTTGCAGGGACCATGAAACATGCGTATGTGTGGAGCATGTTGCAGGGACCATGAAACATGAGTATGTGTGGAGCATGTTGCAGGGACCATTAAACATGAGTATGTGTGGAGCATGTTGCAGGGACCATGAAACATGCGTATGTGTGGAGCATGTTGCAGGGACCATGAAACATGCGTATCTATTGCAACAAGTGAGTATACACGCACAGGTATGCATCACTCTCAGTAATACCGGACTTCATTGTTCTTCACCTTATCTCTTAACACACCAGAACACACATATGTACATAACACCTATGCTCTAATACGCCTTAGCACATATGTACACCTGACCTGTTCTCTAATACACATCTTCACATATGTACATCTTACCCACCACATAACCCTGGAGATACAACTGGCTCTCAGCACCAACAAGGACTATCACACACCTGGCTCAGGCGGGAGTCACGCCACCGTTGATAATAGGAGTAATTATACCACAGTTGAACAATAAACTGTGTTGTGGATGTCACCATCCCTTCACTCACGCCTCTCACTCTCTGAATCTTTGTAAGAGAACAAATTCAGAGAGAGAGAGAGGGAGAGAGAGAGAGAGAGAGAGGAGAGAGAGAGAGAGAGAGAGAGAGAGAGAGAGAGAGAGAGAGAGAGAGAGAGAGAGAGAGAGAGAGAGAGAGAGAGAGAGAGAGAGAGAGAGAGAGAGAGACTCGATTCACAAATAAAGATTCCTCACACCACTTCAAAAGAAAATAAAGCTAAATTTACAAGTGCTAATAAATAAATAAATAAATGGATAATAATATATATATATATATATATATATATATATATATATATATATATATATATATATATATATATATATATATATATATATATATATATACACGTTTCCAGTCATATGTGTCTATGGTGAGTCTTGTGTTCGTGTAGGTGGAGTGGCCCACACCCTCTGGTGCGAACACACATCATGAACCCAGCCAACACACTCTCGAGTGTAACGACACATGCACATGTACTCCCGCAGCTTACAGGACACATGGACCAACTCATAAGATGTGTCATGTAGTGTTTACTGTCAAAATAACTGGCATTCAAGCGTAGATCTGGAATATTATATGCACTAGAGCAAGTTTGGTACATCTGAGGTGTGGGTGGTTGTGTGCTGCTTCACTCAATACTAAAATCTCATTTATACACATGAAAAGTGTGACGTTATTGGATAACATTGCTGAGAAAGGGAACAAGAGCTTTGTTATGAATGTTAAAACAGGTTCGTTATGACAATGGCGCCCTTAAGCTCCTTCACATAACAGAGTGAGGCGGGGCGGCGCTGTTTATCTCAGCCAGGAACACAACTGTGAAAGCACTTCCTGCAGATAATCGCAATAATATGTTCGTCTTTTGTCACAACTCTTGGAGCGGGTGTCGGGTGTCACAACACTTGGAGCGGGTGTCGGAACACTTGGAGCGGGTGTCGGAACACTTGGAGCGGGTGTCGGAACACTTGGAGCGGGTGTCGGAACACTTGAAGCGGGTGTCGGGTGTCGAAGCCGTTATCAGTCAGCCCGGGAGGTCCAGGGCGAGAGGTCGAGGCCCGGGATGCCGGGACTGTCACAAGGAATTCTCTCGTTCCTGAAAGAAACAAAGTCAACACTTCAATACACATTCAACACACGTATTTAACACTTGTTTCCAAGGCTAGAAAAATTAAAATATACAAATATAAATTGTCTCCAATGTATACTTTAGGAAATATATTATTGCACCCAGACAGCATTGATTATCTAGTTACAGTGTAAACATATACATCTTCACTCTCACTGTGGGACGAGGCTACTGGGAGTGGGACGAGGCTACTGGGAGTGGGACGAGGCTACTGGGAGTGGGACGAGGCTACTGGGAGTGGGACAAGGCTACTGGGAGTGGGACGAGGCTACTGGGAGTGGGACGAGGCTACTGGGAGTGGGACGAGGCTACTGGGAGTGGGACGAGGCTACTGGGAGTGGGACGAGGCTACTGGGAGTGGGACGAGGCTACTGGGAGTGGGACAAGGCTACTGGGAGTGGGACGAGGCTACTGGGAGTGGGACGAGGCTACTGGGAGTGGGACGAGGCTACTGGGAGTGGGACGAGGCTACTGGGAGTGGGACGAGGCTACTGGGAGTGGGACGAGGGTACTGGGAGTGGGACGAAGCTACTTGGAGTGGGACGAGGCTGGGGAAAGGCAAGGGACTGGACATAACCCAACATAATATATTATAACTCACAGTCCTCGGGGCCGGAGGAAGGCGAGGGGCTGGACGTAGCCCAACATGTCGCCAGTCTCACACAGGACGCGCGCCCATGACATCAGCCGGATAGAGTTGAGTTGTGCTGTAAGAATATCACATTATATATGATGCAGTTACTAAGGTAATGTTGCCTTAACTCCAAGTTTCAACTGATATACATATTCATTCATAACAAACTGTGCAGCTTCATTTCTGCGGTATTCATTTTCTTATTCATCAACTCTGCATACTGGCATAATACAAACTGTCAAAGTTTGATTGAATTATTTATATAATCTTGAAAATGATGTCAAATAAAACTTTCAGGCTAGAAGAAGGCCGCTATTTTTACTGACACCTTACTGGATACGAGGAAGCGTTAGGTGGAGTATGTTAAGATAATTAGAATAATGGTGTAGTTAATGGGTGTTGTGTTATTTTGTATTAATACCATAATTGTCTGACGCCTCCGGTTACTGAAGAGGTAAACAAACCTTGAGAGAAGGAAGACGGCATGTCCGCCAGGTCGTAGAAGAACCTGTCTCCTCGTTTCAGGCGGATGAACTGCTCACCGACCAGACACCTGTGGCGGGAGAACATGGGATTGGTCAGTCATCCCTCTGTGTGTGGCGGGAGAACATGGGATTGGTCAGTCATCCCTCTGTGTGTGGCGGGAGAACATGGGATTGGTCAGTCATCCCTCTGTGTGTGGCGGGAGAACATGGGATTGGTCAGTCATCCCTCTGTGTGTGGCGGGAGAACATAGGATTGATCAAAAGCTCTTCTGTATGGCAGGAATACTTCGTATTGGACAATAGAGCCGTTTTATTGCGGAAAACATGATTGGTTAATAAATTAAATGACACAAAAGCTTATGTTGCTGAATAATAAATTAACTAAAGGGAAAATCACTAATTTCTAGAAATTTGTTTGGCAACGGACACCCGTTTACCTTCAGAGTCCTCCTTACACCCTGCCCTGTACCCTGCCTTCTGTACCTCCACAATACAGAGGTACAGAAGACCCTCTGTACCCGTGCCCTGCCCCACTGAAGGTGGCTCCCAGACCCACTCACCTGACTGTGGGTCCAAGGATTGAGCCGCGGATGTGCTTCTCAGATATGACGGCCACGAAGGGGTCGATGTCGTCCACGGAGGAGTAGAGGCGCTGGAGGGCCTGCACCACCTGCCGGGGAGCAGCGGTGGTGTTAGTGGCTGCTGCTGGTGTGTGTCTGGGGGCGCCCACACACCCGCACTTATCACTGGGAGGCCCATGGTGGTGGTGGGAGGCCCATGGTGGTGGTGGGAGGCCCATGGTGGTGGTGGGAGGCCCATGGTGGTGGTGGGAGGCCCATGGTGGTGGTGGGAGGCCCATGTTGGTGGTGTGTGATGTGAGTGTATGTTATATTATGAAGGAATAAATATATAATTTGGCTATTTCGGTATACGTTGGTGAGGCCGCTTCTCAGCTGCTGGAAGTGTAGTGCAACTCTCTGGTGATCACTGGTGTACCCGGGCAGGTGTAGACGCCCTGTCCAGTGTAGGTGGGATGTGTACCTGGGCAGTGTAGTGTGCCTGTGCCGGCAGGTGGGTGTTGTAGTGTTGGTGGCGGCAACACTCGTTGTTGTGGTGATGGAGACGCCCCGGTTGTTGTGGTGATGGAGACGCCCGGTTGTTGTGGGGAAATGTAGGTGGGTTGTAAAGTGAAGGTGGGGGGGGGGGGGGTGAAGTGTCGGTGACTGCGTTGAACAACACGAGATCAGGGTTCAGGGGCCGCGAGTCCTTACACACTATCACTATATTCTCTCTCTTTAACACAGATAGTCTTCTCCTCAACTGGAAATTCTATGAAACTTAGCAAACATCTCTTTCTCTCTCTCACACACGAACCTTACCTTTTGAGGGATAACGTCCAGCAGATCTTCAAAGGTCCTGGCTCTTGGAAGTCCGCAAGCGACCCTCAGCTCGTTATAGGGAGCAATCCCGTGGTCGCGGCCCCGCTGGACGTTGAAGGACACCAGGTCCAGTCCGAAGGGGACTTGTGGAGTCTGCAACACCAAGACCAACCCATGAATCATGTCTCCTTCAGGCAGAATCTAACATTCTTCAGTTACACTTACCGACACACAGTGGGTTGTCATACTATCAGTAACACACTGTGTGGCTGTTGCATGTCGTGGTGTGGCATACTGTTATGTTCCATCATATACGAGAGAGCGTCATGGAGTGCGTCACAAAATGTCCCACACAGTGCGTCAGAGAGTGCGTCACAAAGTGCCTCTCGTGTATTAAAACGTCGAGGAAGCTCTTGTTGGTCCACACGAGGCAGCTCTTATTGGTCCACACGAGGCAGCTCTTATTGGTCCACACGAGGCAGCTCTTATTGGTCCACACGAGGCAGCTCTTATTGGTCCACACGAGGCAGCTCTTGTTGGCCCACACCAGGTGACTCCTATTGGTCCACTTGAGAGTGTTCCTATTGGTTCAAGCGAGGGATCGCGCTACTCTATATCCACCCAAACTCATTCGTTTAATTTAAAGTTAGGCCGAAGGCAACCCACGGGTACCGTGACTCTCAGGCTTCCCGCTGCTTGTTCCACACATCAAAAACTTCATCTTCTACACAGGAGGGTACGACTGCTGACTCCTGTTAAAGGCTGAGACGCTTCATCTTCTACACAGGAGGGTACAGAAGCAGACGACTGCTGACTCCTGTTAACAGGCTGAGAGCGTTCCCTTCCTTCAGCTCATGGCAAGCCAACCCTACTAGATTTCCCCCTGGAACACCACCCGCCAACCGGTTAACAACCAGGTTCCCAATTACTGCTGGGTGAACAGTTAAGGACTGGCGCCCAGACAATCCTTCTTAACCAGTACCGAACCCAAACCAACTGGGTAGCGAGGCGCCGGACGAGTATGTTACCAGTACGCCACCAGGGGGCTCTCCAAACAGTATTTGCTTGACAGTCACGATGTCCCAAGAGGCTCCATGACATGTTCTCGTTCCTGAGAATCACCCTTAGAGTTGGGCGCAGCTGCCTCTTGCTCTTGAGTCATATTAACTCCTCTCTACACTACATAATCTGCCACAGATCTATTTAAATTCCCTTCGTTGTTGCAGAATTATTGATAAATTCTTTATTATATATAAATGCCCTAAACTAAATACATATATGTTGATGTAAAGTATGTGTCATTGTATCATCAGGATACATTTATTGTGCATTATAATTCTCAAGGCGAAGCGGGGAGGGAGGACCGAGCAGTGAGGAGCCAGACATCCACCGCGCGGTACTGACGACGACACAACCACTCACCTGGAAGAGCCGGTTGGTGAGGCTGGTAGTGACGTAGTTATCGACCTTCTGCATGGGTTGTGTGGCCAGGCCTCTGAGGAACTGGTCCAGCTTGCCAGGTGTGTAGATGTGGCTCGGGTTGTTGAAGGTCTCGTACATCGGCTCCGAGTCCTCAGTCTCGCCCTTCTTGTTCACAAAGCTGCGAGAGGCCACATTTGTCACGTTTAAAAATCAAAGTTTCCGCTAACAACGCCATGACTATCAGTTGGCAACACTCACACCAACGAAATGTCTGATACTGGGAATGATGCGTTAGTGACGTGCGGGGCCCCCACACCCTGCGTCACGTGCGGGGCCCCCACACCCTGCGTCACGTGCGGGGCCCCCACACCCTGCGTGACGTGCGGGGCCCCCACACCCTGCGTGACGTGCGGGGTCCCCACACCCTGCGTCACGTGCGGGGCCCCCACACCCTGCGTCACGTGACGTGCGGGGCCCCCACACCCTGCGTCACGTGCGGGGCCCCCACACCCTGCGTCACGTGCGGGGTCCCCACACCCTGCGTGACGTGCGGGGCCCCCACACCCTGCGTGACGTGCGGGGTCCCCACACCCTGCGTCACGTGCGGGGCCCCCACACCCTGCGTCACGTGCGGGGTCCCCACACCCTGCGTCACGTGACGTGCGGGGTCCCCACACCCTGCGTCACGTGCGGGGTCCCCACACCCTGCGTCACGTGACGTACGGGGTCTCCACACCGTTACACTCCACCTTACCTCATGTGACGTGCGTCACAATATACAACTCTAAGAGCATTAAGTTATGCTCACTCCGCCACCAAGATAATGTTATTAAAACAAGACTAAAACCAGTCACTAAAACAGAAGCAGAAAATAAACGGGAGAAAAGGACGTAGTCTCACCTCCATTTAAAACTCTGACCCAAATACCACAGTAAGAAGGTTATCGCGAATAACCGAACTCAATTACGGGATCACCATAGCCCGTGCTACGTGGACATTACATCTAAATCAACAACAACAATAAGTTATGCTCATTAAGACCAAGAGTTCCCCAAACTTAACAGCTCGATTGTGTGATAAACAGACGTGAAGCCATTACAATTTTACTTACAAAGTATAGTATTATTACAAAGTATTATTCGAATTTAATAATTAATTTTTTTGTCATTTATTGTATGAATTTCGATTAATATAACACCATTTCACCTGAGAATATTTATAAAATATTAAGTTTTAGACAGTTTCATCAGTTTTCTTTAATCTATTTAGGTATATTTAGTCTTGGTCAGCCTCACTCTTACAAGAAAATATACCTGAAATAAAAGATATATCTTGATCTAAACTTCAGGAACTAAAACTATGTGATATCAGAATATAATAAATCTAACATTTTGAGTATCCACCGTAATATAAGACTAAAAATATTATTATATTGCTCTATATTACATCACTTACAAAGAAAAAATTAGTATATTATATATTTGTTCGAATGTTATAAAATTTACACAAATGGTTGCTTGCAGCATCTATATATTGCACAATGTAAGGCTTAATAAAAGAAAAATCTATTAGTCACTAATACAGGAAAACCCCCCATTAACAACCCCTTCTGCAACAGCCACGCTCTCAAATATATTGCTAAGACTGCACCTTAGGAGCAGCTCCAGGTCTTCACCTTAGGAGCAGCTCCAGGTCTTCACCTTAGGAGCAGCTCCAGGTCTTCACCTTAGGAGCAGCTCCAGGTCTTCACCTTAGGAGCAGCTCCAGGTCTTCACCTTAGGAGCAGCTCCAGGTCTTCACCTTAGGAGCAGCTCCAGGTCTTCACCTTAGGAGCAGCTCCAGGTCTTCACCTTAGGAGCAGCTCCAGGTCTTCACCTTAGGAGCAGCTCCAGGTCTTCACCTTAGGAGCAGCTCCAGGTCTTCACCTTAGGAGCAGCTCCAGGTCTTGACCTTAGGAGCAGCTCCAGGTCTTCACCTTAGGAGCAGCTCCAGGTCTTCACCTTAGGAGCAGCTCCAGGTCTTCACCTTAGGAGCAGGTGAAGAAACAACAGAAGAAAGAAGACCAGTGTCAAGTGTAAACACAACCAGCCACCGAGCTGAAGGTCAAACCAAACACCTTTGTAACTTACTCAACAAGACCTTGGACAATGGAGTGGCCGAAACGGTAGGCGACTGTGGCGAACTCATTCCAGATGGCGGCGTTGATGTTGACATCGTAGTCCCTGGAGAAGCCCTCCCGCCGCGGCAGTATTCCGTTCTCGGCCATGTAGTCCTTCCCTGTGAGGTTAGGTTAGGGCGTGAGACAGTTAACACAATGATATCTTCTCTTAATCAACTACCGCACTGTTATCATCAGTTACGGTCCCTCTGTAAGTAACCAATCAGAGGAAAGAAGTGTTCCTACCTAGGACGAGAGGGAGCCACTCGTTGTAGATGATGTGCTGGTAGATGGCCACCACTATCCTCCTGGTCTCCTGGTAGATGGTCTCGTCTGACCAGTGGGGGTTGAGACGGGCCAGCTCCCGGGCCACGCGGTTGTGCATCCTCATCCACACGGTGTGGATGGCTATAAGATCCGCATGTTGATTCACGCGGTTGTCTCCTGCAACGGGTGAAGCAAGAGTAAGATGACACAGGTATAATTTATCCCAATTACAAAGAACGCAAAATTTATATTAAATTGATGTACGTAAGAGAGGAAAAGTAAGGTAAGTTTACCGGCCATGAAGCAAGGCAGTCCCTCCTTGAGAGACACGCAGGCCACTATGTTGGGGTCGGCTGGCAGGAGGTCTCTCTCCTGCATCCTCAGGAGGCCGCCCTTGAACTGTCGCACCTGCTGGGAGTTCTGCTCGCTCGACCCGTAGATGTTGGACCCGTCCAGGTAGTGGGAGATCTGGTTCATCTGGCGAGGCAGTGGGTATGGTGGTGAGGCAGTGGGTATGGTAGAGGCAGTGGGTATGGTGGTGAGGCAGTGGGTATGGTGGTGAGGCAGTGGGTATGGTGGTGAGGCAGTGGGTATGGTGGTGAGGCAGTGGGTATGGTGGTGAGGCAGTGGGTATGGTGGTGAGGCAGTGGGTATGGTGGTGAGGCAGTGGGTATGGTGGTGAGGCAGTGGGTATGGTGTTGAGGCAGTGGGTATGGTGTTGAGGCACTAAAAATGATGGTGAGGGCACTAGAAAAGTGATCTTGTGAAAATGATCGAGTCAGAGTGGGATTGATGGTGTTCGGAAGGATCTGGTGCCATTAATACAGACACCATAACTACAGACTCCGCCTGACTCACCTGCTTGGCAAATCCTAGAATACATGGCGAGGTGCGGGGAGCGAACATGGACCTGACGAAGTTCATACAGCGGAGGCCGAACCTGGCGAAGAACGGGTCGTCGGCGGGGATGTCGATGGGCAGGCAAGATGGGTGGAGGAGAGAGGCATCCAGCACCCCCCGCCCGTCAGGGCTACAACACTGGATACCGCTCATGTTCCCTGCTCAACCCAGGCAGCATATATTATTATTGTTATTATTGTCACAAGATATATTACACACACACACACACACACACACACACACACACACACAACCCTGGAAAACAGAAGAGTAAGGGGAGACATGATAACCACCTACAAAATTCTCAGGGGAATTGACAGGGTGGACAAAGACAAACTCTTCAGCACGGGTGGGACACGAACAAAGGGACACAGGTGGAAACTTAGTACCCAGATGAGCCATAGAGACGTTAGAAAGAATTTTTTCAGTGTCAGAGTAGTTAATAAATGGATTGCACTAGGCAGTGATGTGGTGGAGGCTGACTCCATACACAGTTTTAAATGTAGATATGATAGAGCCCAATAGGCTCAGGAATCTGTACACCAGTTGATTGACAGTTGAGAGGCGGGACCAAAGAGCCAAAGCTCAACCCCCGCAAGCACAATTAGGTGAGTACACACACACACACACACACACACACACACACACACACACACACACACACACACACACACACAGGATCCCCATTGTTACTAAAGAATGCTCCTGAAGTGCTAATCGATTCAATTCCGATAATCTTCAATACTTCTATGACGAGGGGAGAACTACCAGACAGCTGGAAGACTGCTAGTTTTATTTATATACAGTTGGCTCTAAGTCATAGGTCTGTATCGTTGGTACATATACCATATGTATGGTTAGAGAAATATTAACAAGAGAGTATTGGAATACTGTACTTAGAATACACAAAGTAAAGGTATTAACTCAGTTCTCTCCCTAGGGCAGAAACAGAAGCAAATGAAACACAGCAAAATAGTGACTATGGTACACGATACCACTGTGGTAAGGGAGGTGCATGGTACCTCCCTTATTGTGGTAAGGGAGGTGCATGGTACCTCCCTTACTGTGGTAAGGGAGGTGCATGGTACCTCCCTTACTGTGGGGAGGTGCATGGTACCTTCCTTACTGTGGTAAGGGAGGTGCATGGTACCTCCCTTACTGTGGTTGTGGTAAGGGAGGTGCATGGTACCTTCCTTACTGTGGTAAGGGAGGTGCATGGTACCTTCCTTACTGTGGTAAGGGAGGTACATGGTACCTTCCTTACTGTGGTAAGGGAGGTGCATGGTACTGTGGTAAGGGAGGTGCATGGTACCTTCCTTACTGTGGTAAGGGAGGTGGTACCTTCCTTACTGTGGGGAGGTGCATGGTACCTTCCTTACTGTGGTAAGGGAGGTACATGGTACCTTCCTTACTTCCTTACTGTGGTAAGGGAGGTGCATGGTACCTCCCTTACTGTGGTAAGGGAGGTACATGGTACCTTCCTTACTGTGGTAAGGGAGGTGCATGGTACCTCCCTTACTGTGGTAAGGGAGGTACATGGTACCTTCCTTACTGTGGTAAGGGAGGTGCATGGTACCTCCCTTACTGTGGTAAGGGAGGTACCATGTACCGGTAATTTAAACTACAGAACCTACGTGAGTGAAAATCCTGCTTAACTAATGTAACTAAATTTAGTAACGGAGTTCAGGAGAGTTTTATACTGACCGAGCCTGTTGATGGGGGTGTGGGCGAGGTCGTGGTTGACGAACTGCCCCCACTGCATGACGGAGAGGGTCAGGTCATGGCTGGGTCGGTCCATGTCACCCACTATACTTGATGACACCAGCCTGGGGGAGGGCAGGGGGCCGCCTCCGACACTCTCTCGGGGCCGGAACAATCCTGTGCCAGGAAAAACACGTTCTTAAAATGTTGATTGTATCTGAGACATATACTAAGCATTCTTCACTGAGGGAGACTGTGTATAGCGATACTGGGAGATGTGTGTTGTGTTGCTTGTGTTGAGCTGGAGAAGACAGCCATCACTTGCATCAGGCTGCCACTGTCTTCCTCGGGACAACAGTTCCAACTGCAGCTTGTCTAGGTAGTTATGGCTTCAGCGACGGCCAGGAGTCTGTCCTACCTTAATAATAATAATTTTACTTACAGGAAGGTACAATGTATTGTGAGATTACATAATATTGGTATTCTGACATTCTTGCAAAACCATTAACACGGATAGCGTTTCTGGCAGACATTATCACATCGTAACATGCAGTTATTTATGACTTTAATATGTTACTTAACAGCAGATTTTTGCTGTCTGGTGAGCGAGTTTACTTGATAAAGTCTGAGAAGAGACAGATAAGAAACAGGTTGCAACATATAGTTACATTGTTGCCATCGTGAACCATATCATCCGTGTCATCCTGCAATAGCAGGCTTCACGCCATTATTAGCTATATATTTTAATGCCAGGTTGCAAATTATGGCAACTATAATGTGTTTCATTGTTTTCTCAGCAACTTTATAACAAAATATTTGTAATGTAAGGCGGCACCGGCTCTGGTGCAAGTGTAGGGACCCATAGTCTCGGAGAAGAGAATAAAGGATATTAAAAATCCTTGTGGATTCTCCCTGAATACTTGAGTCTTTTCTTCTCTTACTAACCCGACTTATTCATTATTTTGCACAATTTATACATTGATTTTATTACATAGTGTTGCAGTTTACAGAAAACACACACATAAGAATCAGTGTTCTTAGACCTCATCCAGGTCTTCGTGGGTGGGGTGCGTGCCCAAGATAGAGCACACATTTCCTCCCTGGATCGCGACAGTGAGGGGCTGAAACGAGAAATTGGCCGCTCTTGAGTTTCCAGTTTGCCTAATGAGTTCATCATCCACCTCCTTTAGGAACTTAAGTGCACATTTACCGCAGGCGCCCAGAGTCTCAGGGCCTATCGGCACGAACCTGTAACAACGTTCTAGGTCCCTGTACCTATTAGTTTTCTGGGTCGCCCTGGAGGTGGCTGCCCCGCCTCCCTCAGCTGTGCTGTGAGGTAGATATGTATCAGCCAATGTAGACACACACGTGCAGTCCCACACGACCTGTTTACCTTCCCTCCACGGCTGCAGGATGACTCCATCTGGGCGTTTGTGGCTGTTGTCAGGTCTGCACAACTGAGGTTCCCTTTCCATCCACCTGGGCTGTATGGGTCTTGAGCCGTGGACCCAACAGGTGTGAGGCCGACGAACTATCAACTGGAGCGATAGGCTGATATCTCACACGGTGTGTGGTTTGATAGACCTTCGGCCTCACGCATGGGGTCCACAGTTCGAGACCCATACAGACCAGGTGGATGTAATGTTTATAAAGAGAGCTCACGTGAAAGCCCGCACAGCGAGGCGCTTTGTCTATTATGCAGTTGTTCTTGGTCGAGGTGCCAAGGTCGTGCACCTGGCCCTCAACACTCATCACGGACAGAGAACTCATCAGAGCGAACTATTTTGTTATTCGAGGAAAAGTTGTGCACAGCAGCTGGAGAACACTTTAGTTCCCCTATGTTAAATCACACTATGAGGAACGCACATGTTATGCCTGGCAAGGATCCGCCGCTTTAGGTCTGGGGAAAAAAGATCAATTGGAAAGTAAAGGTTAGCGTGGGAGGAGCCGTGAGATGCTCTCCCTCGCTGTGAGGTGAGAGCTGAAGTTAGGGAAGTGTGGGGGAGGAGCTGGGGCAACACTGTAGTGTGGGGGAGGAGCTGGGGCAACACTGTAGTGTGGGGGAGGAGCTGGGGCAACACTGTAGTGTGGGGGAGGAGCTGGGGCAACACTGTAGTGTGGGGGAGGAGCTGGGGCAACACTGTAGTGTGGGGGAGGAGCTGGGGCAACACTGTAGTGTGGGGGAGGAGCTGGGGCAACACTGTAGTGTGGGGGAGGAGCTGGGGCAACACTGTAGTGTGGGGGAGGAGCTGGGGCAACACTGTAGTGTCGGGGAGGAGCTGGGGCAACACTGTAGTGTGGGGGAGGAGCTGGGGCAACACTGTAGTGTGGGGGAGGAGCTGGGGCAACACTGTAGTGTGGGGGAGGAGCTGGGGCAACACTGTAGTGTGGGGGAGGAGCTGGGGCAACACTGTAGTGTGGGGGAGGAGCTGGGGCAACACTGTAGTGTGGGGGAGGAGCTGGGGCAACACTGTAGTGTGGGGGAGGAGCTGGGGCAACACTCACCGTCACTGTAGTGTGGGGGAAGTATCCTCTGGAAGCCGGTCCTGGCCTGGCCCCAGGACGGGTGCTCCAGGTTGTTGCAGGAGCCGTCGACGGAGCGGTAGAACATGTCCCTCTCCGTACAGACGGGGTCCGGGCGGCAGTTCTCACTGATGATGGTGTTGGACATTTCCAGCTGCTGCAGCCCAAACCCGGCCTCCAGGGGGTTCAGACCGTACCTGTTCACCAGCAACACTAAGTTAAACAAGGTCTCTTGCAGCTGGTGTAGAGTTAGAATGTTGTGTTGTGTTTGACGCTTCCACAGTTGAGGGACTCAGTGTGCCGGGGCGGCCCAAGTGTTTAGCTACGAGTCAAGGGGCCAGATTCATGAAGCAGTTACGCAAACACTTACAAACCTGAACATCTTTTCTCAATCTTTGGCAGCTTTGTTTACAATTATTAAACAGTTAATGAGCTCCGAAGCACCAGGAAGCTGTTTATAACAATATCAACAGTTGATTGGCAAGTTTTCATGCTTGTAAACTGTTTAATTATTGTAAACAAAGCCGTCAAAGATTGAGGAAAGATGTACACCGTTTGTAAGTACATGCGTCACTGCTTCGTGAATCTGGCTCAAGGTGCAGATTTTGTGATGTGGCTGTCATGAACCTTATCTCTGTTATGCAATATTTTGGGTAGAGAGAGTTTACGTAGCAATTTGGCTAGAGAGAAAGATAATTATGTAACATGAAGGAGGACGGGTGCTCCTGGGAGGAGGCCGCCACCTGGCTGACCGCAGCTCGCGCAGATTCCTCCGCTCATCAATGTAGTGCCAGCAGTCGTGTGTTGATTATGGATTTCCAGTATAATGTATATAAATGTTTTGTAAAGGAAAAATAGAACGTTTTTATATGACTATCCAGTAATGATAAATGGGAATATTCAAAGATTATTCAATGAATGGATATGTAGTATTAAGGGACGGAAGTGACAAGGGGCCAGATTCACGAAAGCACTTACGAACGTGTACATCTTTCCTCAATCTTTGACGGCTTTGGTTACGTTTATTAAACAGTTTACAAGCATGAAAACTTCCCATTCAACTGTTTTTATTGTTATAAACAGCCTCATGGTGCTTCGGAGCTCATTAACTGTTTAATAATTGTAAACAAAGCCGCCAAAGATTGAGAAAAGATGTACAGGTTCGTAAGTGTTTGCGTAACTGCTTTTGTGAATCTGGCCCCAGGTGTCCTGGGCGACTAAACCATAAAATGGCGGACAGGGAGGACGTGTTGGCCAGAGTCTCAGGCTTAGAGCTTTACACTCCTCCAGACAACTAGATAAGCCACAATATATAATTAATTAACATGCAGGAGATCATATGGTTGCTTTGAGAAGTTAGTAGGGATAAAAAGAGTTCAGATTTCCTAATATTTTTCTGAGTTTGAAAATAATCTCGTCTGAGTGGATAAACCTTAAGACTTAACATTACCAGACTAAGGTGTTTAGGGTGAACATCTTGCCTGTATTTAATTGTAAACATCTTGTTAATATTGATATTTCTGATTACTGTATATTAATGAAGGTACGTGAAGAATATGTAGGAGGTCTACTGAATGATTTACTCTTTATATTTTTATTTATTTGTATATATATATATATATATCGTTACGTGCCTCTGTAACCCTTTACACTGCCGCCCACAACATGGGTATGGGGTGCATAATAAATGAACTAAACTAAACTACTGTTACTCTACCTAAGGTGTTTGTGTGTTCCTTTGTGGACATTCCCCGGGCCTCTTCCAGCAGCCTGTGATTAATTACAAACTCCAGCACGACACTAATGGCAGGAAAGTATAGGACGAAACTCCAGCCTGGGTTAAACGGTCAGGCACATGTCTGAGTATTATGGGCCAGGAGGTGAGTGGCCACACGTGTGGTCACATGTGTGGCCACACATGTGGTCAGGTGTGTGGCCACACGTGTGGTCAGGTATGGCCACACGTGTGGTCAGGTGTGGGCCACACGTGTGGTCAGGTGTGGGCACACGTGTGGTCAGGTGTGTGGCCACACGTGTGGTCAGGTGTGGCCACACGTGTGGTCAGGTGTGGCCACACTCACCAGTGTGAGGACAACACCAACGTTACTGAGCCTCACTTGTTAACAAGACAAAGTATGATCTGAGCAAAGATAAACGTCGCCGGTAATTATGTGTGTAACAGCGCTTAGTTAATTATGAGGAGCGAGTACTAAGCTAATAAACCAAGCCAGATTATACAAGTAGTAGACTTAGGTAGGGTAGAGTTAGGTAGGGTAGAGTTAGGTAGGGTAGAGTTAGGTAGGGTAGAGTTAGGTAGAGTAGAGTTAGGTAGGGTAGAGTTAGGTAGGGTAGAGTTAGGTAGGGTAGAGTTAGGTAGGGTAGAGTTAGGTAGGGTAGAGTTAGGTAGGGTAGAGTTAGGTAGGGTAGAGTTAGGTAGGGTAGAGTTAGGTAGGGTAGAGTAAGGCTAGACGGGAGAGTGAGATAGGGACTGGCACTTACTTGGACATAAGATGGTCTGCGGCCCTTGTAAGAACGTAGGCGTTTCGGCTAAGATTAAGAGCGAGGGGCGAGGTCTTGAAGAACTGGAGATGCGAGAACGCTGGATCCTGAGCTTCCGTCACCCGAATGTCCCTCTCCCTCAGCTCCTGCAGAATAATAATACACGTAGAACTCCAGGCGCGAGACACGCAGACATCTGCCTCACACACTGCGCGGTGTTGATGTACATCACAGTTTATCATGACCTAAGATAATACACGTAGAACTCCTGGCGCGAGACACGCAGACATCTGCCTCACACACTGCGCGGTGTTGATGTACATCACAGTTTATCATGACCTAAGATAATACACGTAGAACTCCTGGCGCGAGACACGCAGACATCTGCCTCACACACTGCGCGGTGTTGATGTACATCACAGTTTATCATGACCATAGAGAATATATTTCAAAATGATTACAATGTAGAGGAAGGTATTTACCCTCTCCAGGGCGTTCCGGTCCTCCAGGTCGGAGAGTCCGGCCCTCACAGCCTCGTCGATCACCTCACTCTTGATGGTCAGGTCAGGCACCTGGATCTCGACCTCCGAGAACAGCTGATGTAGGTTAACTGGTGAGGATAACAGGTGGTGAGGATAACAGGTGGTGAGGATAACAGGTGGTGAGGATAACAGGTGGTGAGGATAACAGGTGGTGAGGATAACAGGTGGTGAGGATAACATGTGGTGAGGATAACAGGTGGTGAGGATAACAGGTGGTGAGGATAACAGGTGGTGAGGATAACATGTGGTGAGGATAACATGTGGTGAGGATAACATGTGGTGAGGATAACAGGTGGCGAGGATAACAGGTGGTGAGGATAACATGTGGTGAGGATAACAGGTGGTGAGGATAACATGTGGTGAGGATAACAGGTGGTGAGGATAACATGTGGTGAGGATAACATGTGGTGAAGATAACAGGTGGTGAGGATAACAGGTGGTGAGGATAACAGGTGGTGAGGATAACAGGTGGTGAGGATAACAGGTGGTGAGGATAACAGGTGGTGAGGATAACAGGTGGTGAGGATAACATGTGTCTCAGATACAGGTGGTGAGGATAACATGTGTCTCAGATTTGCTTCCAGTAGATGAACGACATATGAGATTCAGAAACAAGTAGTGTATTGTGAGGACTAATAATAAACAGAAGCTCCCCTATGACTCTAATATCCCCATTGGTCAAACTATTATGTATTAACGATAAGACCTACCATTAATGTATGATGACTTACTGTAAATATGTAGCTCTTGTAATAGCACTTTCTCTGTAACTAGCTGACATTGTATCTATAAGGTGTGAAGGATTGAAGAAATTGTTTATGTAATAATCTAAGATGAGGTCTGATAAAGACCTTTTGTGCCCTCTGTAATGCTTTTGCGCTACCGCTCACAGGATGAGTATGGGGTGCACAATAAACTAGCCGCCTTCGGCGGCAACAATCAAATCAAATCAATCAGATACAGATAGTGAGGATAACATGTGAGGATAACATATGTCTCAGATACAGATGTCATGAATAGCATGTTTTAGGTATACATAAGGTATGGATGAACGTGTCTGTTATACAGATGGTGTATGTATGTGTGTATTTTCCTGTTGACAGCTTCGAGAGTTTTCCTATTATGTGTCGACAGGATTCTGAACTGTCGTACTGATCCTCTAATTAGGTATATTTCTAAGTAGGCTAAAAGGGTTAGATCAATGATTTTGTCCCGAATCTTCTCTACTTTTCTTATCTCATTCTTTACTTGGCAATTAAGCTGGAAAGCTTACTTGCCAAAGTTCATTTTATACTTATAATTGGAATGACTCATTTTGCTAAGTTCAACTTAGTGTCCTCAGAGAGACAGAGAAGTGAATACAAAGTATGACAACAATATAGTCTATGCTGGCATTTGTTACCCTGTCAAGTGCACAAAATAATTTGAGCCTTGATTCTCAGTGTCTGGCTGAGGCAAGGGCTCAATGTCACCCGGAAGTTCTCTCTTTTCTTGCTGATCGAAGGATCTAATAGGTCCAAATTAACTGCTAATAATAAGACTATCTTCTTGAGATTATCTTGAGATGATTTCGGGGCTTTAGTGTCCCCGCGGCCCGGTCCTCGACCAGGCCTCCACCCCCAGGAAGCAGCCCGTGACAGCTGACTAACACCCAGGTACCTATTTTACTGCTAGGTAACAGGGGCATAGGGTGAAAGAAACTCTGCCCATTGTTTCTCGCCGGCGCCTGGGATCGAACCCAGGACCACAGGATCACAAGTCCAGCGTGCTGTCCGCTCGGCCGACCGGCTCCCCCAACTAGACTAGAGTGTTTGTTGAGAAGTGCTTCTGCTATGTCATGTCTCCTATTGTCGTATCTGTTGATTATTTAGGTGCTACTACACAGATTCTCTGTAATGATGATCTGGATGTGTGTAGAAGTAATTATCAAAAGAAGGCACCAAGCTGGGAAGGCTATGTAGCACCATCAAATGTGCGGGATAATCAGAGGGCGCTAAATATCACCAAGGATGCCAATACGAGAACAGAAACACATAAGATGAACGATATCAAAAGTATCCGAGTCGCCAAAAATTCTATCGAGGGACAGGTGACCGTAAGGGACGGTCAGGAAGCAAGAAACACGCTCGTCCTGGAAGTCAGGACATTCAACAAGGATATGCATGTCTGTAAGAGAGACAATGCAGTTTGGACAATAAGGAACAGGGCGGCACTCCATTAAGTGCCTGTGAGTTAAGTGTGTGTGACCAATATGTAGCTTTGCCAGAGCTGTTTCCCATCGCCAGTTACAGTGGTAGGAGGAAGGCCACGGGGACACACTACTTTTAAGAGTACGCAGTTTGTTACCATCAACAGAAGACCAGCAACCCTGTCAACGGGCAAGGATGGAGGAATGAATAACCGGGTAAAAGTCAGAATAAAGAATACCTTTATGGAAGAGTCAACCATAACCATAAAGGAGGATTTACAGCGAGAAAGCAGTTGACAAAGAGCATAGAAAATAGCTTAAAGTTCTGCCGTGAAGATGCTAGTCTCCAGAGGCAGGAGACACGAAGGCCAAAAGAATGGAGTTGGGACAATACGGTATCTCCAGGTGGTGTCATGTGCTTTTTCCAGGTCAAAAAAGACAGCAACAATGGAGGTCTTCGCAGCAAAAGCACTACGAATATAGACCTCCAAGTTCATGAAGACATCAGTCATGCAACTACACTTGCTAAAGCCAAATTGAGAAGGGGAGAGACAGTGGTAGTTTTCCAAGAACCACATCAGATATGCATTGACCATATGTTCAAGGAGTTTGCAAACGCAAGTAGTGAGTGCAATGAGGTGAAAATCCAAGGGGGTGGCACTAGAGACCCCTGGTTTCCGAATAGGAAGAACCACCGCCTGGACCCAGTCCTCGAGGACTGATGACGATTCCCAGATTCGGTTATAAAGATTTAGTAGATACCGAGACGCGCATTGGAGGGAGATGGCGAAGTATCTCATAATGAATGCCATCTGAGCCCGCTGCTGTGGACCCACAGAGGGCCAGGGCGGACCGAAGTTCGGAGAGAAGGGATCGTTATAGGGAAGCTGGAGATGAGTGCGTAAGTCTAGAGGAGAAGCTTCAAGAATGGGCTTACGATTATGGAAAGACAGAGGAAGATGGGAACCGGAGCTAACAGTTGAAAAGTGGGAACCTAGTTCGGTCGCGACCGCCACCGGATCCGCCACAACAGTATTGTTGAGATGAAGGACTGGCGAGACATCTGGAACAAACTTACCCGCTATCTTGCGGATTTTCTTCCATATCTGAGACAGGAGTATCGGATGTAATCATGGAGACATGAGATTTCCAACTCTCATGTTTAGCTGTACGGATAGTCCTATGGGCCTCCTCACTCGTCTTCCAAAATAAAATAAAGGAAGTGACCATCTGCCGGTGTCAATGTCTCTTGCAGGCTGCGTGCTTACAGCGGACAGCCCGAGCACAGTCTGCATTCCACCAGGGAACGCACTTCCGCGTGCCTCGGGAGGTAGAGCAAGGAATAGAGTGGAGGGCAGCACCGAATACGGTGTCATGAAAAAGGAAGAGAGCGCGAGGAAGAGGCAGAGTGGAAAGGGCGGAGAGAGTAGCATGGAGGATGAATAGATTCCAGTCAGCCTTGGCAAACTGCCACCTAGGGAAGGAGAGGGAAGGGTGAAAAGAGAAAAAGGTAACAAGGATAGGGAAATGGTCACTGTTATGGAGGTCATCAAGAACCTGCCATGTGAAATCTACGTAAAGAGACGACGAGCAGAGAGAAAGATCAAGTCAGGAAAGGATGTGAGTGTGGGAGTCCACATGAGTGGGTTCACCAGAATTTAGAAGACATAGGGGAAGAAGAGAGGGCAATAGGTTCGAGAAGGCGGCCTCCGGTGTTTGTCACAACATCACCCCAGAGGGTATGTCGACAGTTGAAATCACCCAAAAGGAGCACAGGCTCCGGTAAGGAGTCCAACAGTCCAACAGGTGCCTAAGATCAGGAATAGAAAGTGGGACATTTGGGGGGTGATAAATGGAATAGACTGTGTACCATTCACTTACAAAGACATGGGCCGCAGAACATTGAATGGGCGACTGAAAAAGTAGGGGGATGGAGTTATGGGCCCCAGCTTTTGGGCCACAGGGGGGTGGGGAAGAGAGAGAGAGAGAGAAAGAAAGGAATAACCACAATATTGACCAGGACGAGCACTAAGCATCGGCTCCTGGTAACATACACAAAGCGGTGAAAACTGTGTTATCAGAAGTTGGAGATCATGGAAGTTGGCAAAAAATCCACTAATATTCCCTTGAAGAATAGACATTATCAAAAGGAGAAGAGAGAGAACAGCAACAGAAAGCAATGAAGAAACAAAGGGAAAGAAGAACACTGCATACTAAAGATCAGTATTAGTAAAATCAGGGTCAGGGGGCATGGATAAATTGAGCAAGGACAATGAGGCTAAGAGAGCGAGAGGATGGACCAGAGGGGAAAGGGGGGGGGGGCGGACAGGGTCCAGAGCAGGAGAGGGCACTGGAGAGGGGTGGTCAAGTGAAGCGAGAGGGAGGGGGTGGGGCAGAAACAGGGGAGTGCACCTCAGCAAGGGCAGCAATCGAGAAAGAGAATCAAGGGCTAAGGAAACCCCCATAGCTGGGACAATGGGTCCTAGCCATCGAAATGGGAGGGGATGCAGTGATAGTGTTGGAGGTGGAGGGTGGGGAAGAAAGCGATGCCTTTTTACCAGCTGGAGAAGGAGAGGAGGCAGGCTTACGTTACTGACTTAAAAAGACAGGCAACAACGTACTGGGTGAATCTCTATTGTTTCAACATCTCAAAAGAAGAAAGAGAACGGGAGTGAACAACATGAAGATTGCTGGGAGGATGATGAGTATCATTCTGGACAGATAGGCAGCGTGGAGCGCCAAGAGACAGTGGGGGAGGGCTGGAAAGAAGGATCAGGGGGAGATGGGAAAGAAGACACAGGACACAAGGCAGACTGGGAAGGAAGGCAGGAACACAAGCTGGAGGACCCTTTGGATCAGAATGTAAAGAAACAGGAAAGGAGGCAGTGGGAGTGTCCGGGTCTAAGGCCTGGAAACGGTTGTCAGACTAAGAAAGGAGAGAAGGGCAAGGAGAAGATGGAGTGCAGCACACGAACATAAGATACGCTAGCGAAAGAGGAGAGACAAACTATCGCGGTGCTTCAAATTGAGGATGGCTTCCTCAAATTTGTAGTGGATACATGTGCGAGTGAAGGTAGAGTGGGCGTCACCGCAATTGAGGCAGCAAGCCTGGGGAGAAGAGCGCTTCTTCTTAAGAGTGACCCGAGTCCCCACACAAGGGGCATAGACATAAAACACTCTCGTCTAACAGTCAACAATCAGCTCATAAGGTACATCCTTTTATCACAACAGCCAAAAGGGACCTTCCAGTTGGGTTGTTCCAAGCAGCAGACTTCTGCAGAACACAATACACTGGAAGAAGAAACAGCAGAGAGCATGAAGACATAAACACGTACTCTTATTGGGTTGTTCGGGGCAGCAGACGCCAACAGCACCACCGTAGATGGAGCAGGAGAGCTGGGGCTGGTTCTCTATCTCACGGTAGCTGGAAGCGCAGGTCACCAGCGGCACACACTGCAGGCCGTCCGGGCACTCTCCTGGTCCAGGGTAGGGAGGCGGAGCTGGCGGAACGTGTCATGTTAACATTGATATTGATTTTAACAAACTAAATTACACTGAGTACTTTATTTAGAAATAAGAAATGGAAAAAGAGGGCCAATGGAGCACGTATGTCCTTACTAAGGCATGATAATAGTTTAACCACATGGGTTCTTCCCAACAACGCTAAATCAGGCAGGTACCGACAACAGATGGCTGGATCAGCAAAACATGTGTACTATGCGTACATGTGACATGCGTGCACGAGACTGTGGGTCTGTGACCGGTGTCTAAATGCCCTGAGGCGGGCATTGTATTGTTTACATCAGGACTGTGAACATGAGACAGTGTTCGCATCTCTAAAAAGTGACCAAATAACGCACTATAACTACTTAATCACAGTGTTAGCATCCTAAGACAATCAAGAATGTGCTGAATAACATTTTACACAAAAATGATTAAAATAAATATCATAATTAGTGAGGACGAGTTCATGTTTTCAGAGACTCTACGCTACCACTCACATCTCGGTCAGAATTAATCTCACGCTACTGCGAGTTATCATCCGACAGCAAAGCTATCATCTAAATGAATAAATCCACAAGGGCCGTGACGAGGATTCGAACCTACGTTCGAGAGTATCCCAGACGTTGCCTTAATCCACTGAGCTACGACATGGATTTTTGGATTTGTTCATATGATGCATCACGCTATTGTGATTTCTGTGTGCTACCATCTAAATCTCTAAAATACAGAGGCATTATCTCGCCAAGAGAGATATAAGTCTAGTCTAGAATAGACTCAAAGCTCTAGTTCTCAATTGGATAAGTTAATTAAGTGCACACAGAAATCACAATAGCGTGATGTATCAAATGAACAAATCCACAAGGACCGTGACGAGGATTCGAATCTGCGTCCGAGAGCATCCCAGATGCTGGGATGCTCTCGTGTAATGTCAAATGTAATGAAGTAAGGGCGAAGAGGTAGAACAGCCTATTGACATAGCTCGAGTGCATGGGGGGAGTTGTGTACAATCCTGGTGTCTCTCTCGGAGAGGCTGCAGGATCCAAGTAAATTCAGTAGAATTTCTGGTTGCAATTCTTATACTGTGTCGTAGGTCAGTCGATTAAGGCAATGTCGGGGATGATCTCAGACGCAGGTTCGAATCCTCGTCAGGGCCCTTGTGGATTTGTTCATTAATTAAGTGTTTTAGAATGTTTAATGGCCAATTTGCATGCTTCTATAACCTTAATCTTTCCATAAACTGTTTGCCGTTATGAAGTGGGGAAATTCCCCAAAATAAAGTAAGCTTCTACAATAATTATTATCTTAATATATCAATTATTAGTAATAATAAATAATCATTAAATCTTAATCTAATCTTGAATAAGTTCAGTAATAAATAATCAGCATTAATTATAAATCATTATCATAGTTATCATCAGGTAATAATATTTGCGTAAATATTATCTATTAATCAGTTCTAGAAATCTTGCTTGAATAATATAACTTGATATTGTTATATTTATTTAAAACCCCAGTTATTTCCAGTAACTATTTAAGAACTAGGTTGTGTACAGCGGCTCAGATCTTTATGATCTTGAATAATGAACCCTTTAATTTAGCAGTCATTGTTAGTGCTGTTTTAATTTTATTATTTAATCTTTTGTACCAAGTACAATGATGATGTGAGTGGAATTTCAACAGGTACTTTTCAGTTGTCCTCTATCAATAACTCTGAGTTTGAGAAATAACATCTTTTAAGAGAACGGAATTACCTGACCTAATAGTCTATAGTGAAGTAGTCTACAATCTACACTTCAAGCTAAGTGCTCATGCTAAGTCGACACTTCCAGCTAAAAGACTCACTTTATTCTGTATTTGTATTTGATAGTAGGCTGTAGTTCCTCTGGCTAGAAATTCTCCACATCACTTATATTTAATCACGAAGAATCTAATCATATCACAATAATACTTAATCATCTTCAAATTACTATTAGCTTAATCGTATAAATAAACTTTATCTCAAAATAATCGTTTTCAACTGGGAAAACTAATCCTAAATGAGGTGACATAGTTGCTCTCTGAAGCAGACAGCAGAGGCACTCCGAGCTCACTCTCTTGTTGACATAAAAACACAATGACCTTGCGTTGTGTAACAGTCTGATAATCAGCGTCAAACATCACACAAACATTATATATTCCTTGATATACTATAACATACACTTATCAACGTGTAGAACATACAACATACACCGTGTGTATAAGTGTATGTTATTATACGTGCATTCGTCCACATGAGCCAGAGCAGGACTAGTGTAAACACACCAACGCTTTTATAAGAGTTTGGGATAGAGAGAAAATAAGAATGTTTGATCCTTACCTCCATATGCGAGTGTAGGAGGTTGAGGCTGAAGAGGTCGGAGGTGGTGAGGGACGGGGGTGACCTGACGGCTAGAGGCGGGGCCCAGGAAGGGATGGGTGACCGCTGGGGTGCGGCTGGGGGTGTAGAGGGCCTGGCTGGACCTCAGAGGCGCCTTCGTCAGAATTGGCCTCCAGGACGACTTGAGAAATAAAGGAAGAGGATTGCATTTAATGTCTTGATCTCTTTATTCTACGTATAAATTAGTGCATTGAGATTGTCTTGCTTTTTGACAAAAAAAAAAGATTACATGTTTATAAACGTGAAAAAACAAGACATGTAACTTCTTACCGATGGCTTGCCCCCTGTGACGTGAGGCGGGAACCTCCCATCATAGTGCCTGGCCAGCTGCGGTCTGGGCCTCTGCGGTCTGGCCAGGTACGGTCTGGGCCTCTGCGGTCTGGCCTGCTGCGGGGCGACATTATACAGGCGTGGGGCATGGCTGGGGTAGGGTTGAGGTGGCCGAGGTGGGAGCGGGTCGTAGGGTCTGCCGGAGACGAGGGAGGTGGGTGAGGGATTAGGCTGTCTCTACCAATCATACCCATACTTCCCTTCCACCCAGCTGGAACAGCAACTTATCATCCCAGTAGAGTTCCTGTGCAACTTCTTGCCCAGTAGGATCAAGATCTTTACCACCCTGTTTGCTGACCTCTCCCATATCATTTATTTATTTATATGCAAGCTGGTACTGTGAAAAATTCCCACCATATCAATATTATAATCTAAGAAATGAAGTACATAAAAATCATTATCTTGTATCATACATGTATCGAATCATACATCTACTAGATCCTACATCCATGACTAACCACAATGGTCACGTCCGCCGTTGGGCCTATGGATGCCTATGTGACCTTGCTCATGTATCTTTAAGGATCTAGAAGGTCCGACAAGAAGTTATCTTAAGTGAAATACCATTGAAACATGACTTGGGCTTCTGGTGACGTATTTTCAAATCTTATAAGAATCAATTTGTACTATAAGTACTACCTATAATAATTAAATCCTATATACATTTATCCAACAATCCCACTTTACCTCAATAATCTGTCTAGACAATAAAATTAATTAATCAATGTTCATTGTCGGCCACACTCACTGGGAGGGAGGAACCGCTGCCCGGGTGAGTAACCGCTCGGAGCCCCAGAATCTATTGTTTACACTCTCCAGTGAACACGTGTGATGGTGCTTCAGGCTTTCAACAAGACTACACGGCACAAACTAATCTTAATCCTCAGTGATAGCTCCCTAGGAAACTCAGGGAGGTACTGAACTATAAACAAATATATAAATCAATTTAAAGAACTCAAAATACAAGTGTAAAGATCGAGTGGCTCACCACGCTTGGTCTCTCACCACCACCTCATCATCTTCATGCAAGATAAAGGCTACAGCTGTATCCAATCACCGCAACAACGCTGTTATATCATCAAAATACTGTACCATATCTCACCAAGAGAGATATTCTCTGCCAACCGGTCAGATGGACATCGGTTCTCAATTTGGGATAAGTACTAAGTGTTGTAGAGTGTAAATTAGCCAATTGCATGTTTTAATGACCTTAATGTGTCCATATAAATTGCTAATCGTCATATAGCGGAGACACTCCCCACAATCAAGTGAGCATCTTATCTTATTCTTTATCATTTAATCTGAATATATGTATAAATACATGTATATATAATTCATAAGTATAAATTATCAACTGCCATCACAGTTATAATTAATTTATCATATTTGCTTGCTTATTTGCATATAATATCTTGCTTAAATCATATAACTAGTTATTATAATCACTAGACATAATCTCAGTTATTAGCTATGTAGTCAAGAGCTAGGCTAACTAGGCTAGGCTAGATTATGTAGTGTTCAGATCGTTTGATTCTAGAACAGAACCAATATTCAGTTATTGTTCTGTGTTTATCATTTAATCCATTGTATACAATACAATGGTAAATGTGTTTAAATGCCAACAGGTACATTTTGTTCCTGCAATCAATAACCTGGTTTACCTGTAAGAACTGTACCCCGAGGTTTACAGCCTACATTCCTTCCTAAGACAGAGGATTGACAGGAATTTTTGTAAAAGCTAAGAACTTATTAGTTCATTTATTTGCATTCTTATTTTAAAGTAGGTTTTATTAAGTTCCAGTTCTTTTAATTTCCTCATTATATCTATCCACAGTATTTATTCTACAGGTACATTGGGTTGTGGAAGTTACTGAGTAGAACGTCCTTGCAAAACCACCAAAACACGCATACTGACAAATGTAGCAATCAGTACATTGTAACAGAAGTTGAATTCAACATTATAACTGATTATATTATTATAATAATATAATATACATTATAAACTGATAGAACAGATTATGCTGATAAAGTTGCATGTATTTACTATTAAATTGGGTGAGTGGGTAGCACAAGATACATTGTGGGTTTGAAGCGCAAGGTACGAAACTATAAGAATGTAATTCGATACTTTTTTGGTTTTACTTTTGAATAAAGCATAGGTTGGACATTTTTTAATTCGTTAGGGAGTGAGTTCCATGGACTAGGTCCTTTTATTTGCATGGAGTGTTTGCACAGGTTTAGTTTGACTGGGAATATCAATGAGATATTTATTTCTGGTGCGGTGCTCATGGGTTCTAATAAATCAATCAAGGAAGAGTTTTAGATCTCGATTATAATGTAGGCTTAATCATAAGATTTTGTATGTGTAAACAGCACAAGAGAATGTGTGGAATGAGTTTATGTTTAGCATGTGTAAGGATTTAAACAGAGGGGCTGTGTGTTGTCTGAAGACAGAATTTGTTACAGTTATGATAGCAAATTTTTCCTGTGTGATGATAGGCTTCAGGTAATTTTGCAGTGGTTGCACCCCATGCGCAGATACCGTATGTAAGATAGGGATAAATTAGGGAGTAGTTTAGTGAGAGGAGAACAGAGTTTGGAACATAATATCTGATTTTAGAGAGTATATCAACCGTTTTTGAGACTTTTTTATGTGTTGTACGTGGGTGCTGAAGTTAGTCTCTTGTCTATGTACAGCCCAGGGAACTTTACATCACTTTTAATTCTAATGTTGAAATTGTCAGTATAAAGGTGAATTTGGTTTGATGATTTACTTCCAAATAAAATGTAGTAGGTCTTTACTATGTTTAGTGTGAGTTTGTTAGTTGACATCCACGAGTGGAATTTATTTAATTCATTATTTACAATATTATTTAGTGTGTGTGGGTTGGGATCTAAATAAATGAAGGTAGTACCATCAGTAAATACTAAAGATTAAGATTGTTTGATACATTTGGCAAATAAGTTATGTATATAAGAAACAAGGAGAGGTCCTAGGATGAAGACCTGTGGCACCCCTACTGTTAATGGTAGAGTGGGAGAGGTTATGTTATTGATGGCTACATATTGGTGTCTGTCACTGAGATAGGAACAAATATAGTTTAGAGGTAGGCCTCGGATTCCATAATGATGAAGTTTAAGTAAGAGATAGTTATGGTTTACAGAAACAAGGACCTTTCTCGAGTCAATGAAGTTGCCATTTGGGAACTTATATTTATTAAAGGCTGTTTAGATTACATGAAGCGAACTAGTAAATGCATGATTGGAGTTCTTCTGATAATGGGGTTATAGCCCTGTGTATATAGTCTGGTTGACCACTCGCATATTATGATAGTGTTATAACCCTATGTACCAAATGTGTCCAGACTGAGGGAACAAGTCACTCACCTGTAAAACTGGGCCGGAGGATACACTTGACGTCTGTCTCTCCCGGCGTCACTGGAAGCACTGACGCTCTTACTCTCCTCCACCGCATCTGTTGGGGTGGCAGCACTGTCGTTGTTTACTTCCTTGGCCACGCTGCCAGCACTGAGCCCAACCCCGACCAATATCAGTATGGCTGTTGAATACCTGCAACACGTGACCAATATCAGTATGGCTGTTGAATACCTGCAACACGTGACCAATATCAGTATGGCTGTTGAACAACACGTGACCAATATTGTCCAGGATAATGTTCTAGTCAGCTATTATGCTCCAGGATAATGTTCTAGTAGCTATTATGCTCCAGGATAATGTTCTAGTAGCTATTATGCTCCAGGATAATGTTCTAGTAGCTATTATGCTCCAGGATAATGTTCTAGTAGCTATTATGCTCCAGGATAATGTTCTAGTAGCTATTATGCTCCAGGATAATGTTCTAGTAGCTATTATGCTCCAGGATAATGTTCAAGTCAGCTATTATGCTCCAGGATAATGTTCTAGTAGCTATTATGCTCCAGGATAATGTTCTAGTAGCTATTATGCTCCAGGATAATGTTCTAGTAGCTATTATGCTCCAGGATAATGTTCTAGTAGCTATTATGCTCCAGGATAATGTTCTAGTAGCTATTATGCTCCAGGATAATGTTCTAGTAGCTATTATGCTCCAGGATAATGTTCTAGTAGCTATTATGCTCCAGGCTAATGTTCTAGTAGCTATTATGCTCCAGGATAATGTTCAAGTCACCTATTATGCTCCAGAATAATGTTCTAGTCAGCTATTATGCTCCAGGATAATGTTCAAGTCAGCTATTATGCTCCAGGATAATGTTCAAGTCAGCTATTATGCTCCAGAATAATGTTCAAGTCAGCTATTATGCTCCAGGATAATGTTCTAGTAGCTATTATGCTCCAGGATAATGTTCTAGTAGCTATTATGCTCCAGGATAATGTTCAAGTCAGCTATTATGCTCCAGAATAATGTTCTAGTCAGCTATTATGCTCCAGGATAATGTTCAAGTCAGCTATTATGCTCCAGGATAATGTTCAAGTCAGCTATTATGCTCCAGGATAATGTTCTAGTAGCTATTATGCTCCAGGATAATGTTCTAGTAGCTATTATGCTCCAGGATAATGTTCTGGTCAGCTATTATGCTCCAGGATAATGTTCTGGTCAGCTATTATGCTCCAGGATAATGTTCTAGTCAGTTTTTATGCTCCAGGACAATGTTCTAGTCAGCTATTATGCTCCAGGATAATGTTCAAGTCAGCTATTTTGAAACATCAGTTGATGTTTTACTAACAACAAAAAATGGGTTTCGAAATACTAATTTCATTTGATAACAAATGAGAAGTTTAAAAACTAGCTCGTCTTTCAGTAAGTTGGTAATCAATGTTATCATGTGATTATGTTGTTAACCCGGACGGTGTTGTGGGTCCAACACAACAACAACAACAAGACTCACAACATTGTACAACTTCTCCAGCGTCGCTCCGTCATCTTCCTGGGTCCTGGTGCCTCAGGTGGAGTTAAGTCCCGCCCACCGGGTAGGGCGCCAGCAGACACGGACGCACTGGGTAGGACGCCAACAGACACGGACGGACCGGGTAGGACGCCAGCAGACACGGACGGACCGGGTAGGACGCCAGCAGACACGGACGGACCGGGTAGGACGCCAGCAGACACGGACGGACCGGGTAGGACGCAAACAAACTCGGACGAGCACCGGATAGGACGCCAACACACTCAGATGCACTGGGATAGACGCCAGCAGAGACTTCGAAAACACTTGTTTACACCACCAGTCACACACTTGCACTGACTCCTCTCCACCGTCCCGCTGTATATATGGAAGCCGGACACCTGCTACAGGAAGCAGGGGCCAAGATGTCTGGGATGGGGGGGAAGAGGCGTGGTGGCCCGTCGTCAAGGTTCACCATTACATCCTTCACTTTCTTTCTCCATCGTCAGAGACTCCCACAACAACAACAAGATCGCCCCAAATTCACAAACTATAAAAATCTGTAATTGATCCTCTTTCCCATTGGGATGTCCTTCTGTGTGGTTGGCCCCCTGTTTCTTCTGATTGCTGCTCCACCTCCCCCACTCAACTCACTTTCACTTCCTAAGGTAATACTTCCATTGTGAGTTGATAATCCTCACATAATCTATTCCAGCAGCAATGTCCTTTCTTCCTTAAGAATAGGGCAAGTCACAGTCTTCCTGTTCCTGTGGGTAATGCACTTATACCTTGATTCTCCTGTGTCTCACGAGGTAACCCCAAGAGCCTCCCCACGCCAGGAAACATGATTATGAATAAGTAAATAAATATACGCAGAAGATCCTCATAAACATGTGATTCATTATGACTAAGTATTCACAAGGAAAGAGAAACTCCTGCTCCTTGAAAATGTCTTAATACGGGAAAGCGCTCAGAGTCCTCTTCCTTCTTGATCATATATATATATATATATATATATATATATATATATATATATATATATATATATATATATATATATATATATATATATATATATATATATATATATGTCGTACCTAGTAGCCAGAACGCACTTCTCAGCCTACTATGCAAGGCCCGATTTGCCTAATAAGCCAAGTTTTCCTGAATTAATATATTTTCTCTATATTTTTTTCTTATGAAATGATAAAGCTACCCATTTCATTATGTATGAAGTCAAGGTTTTTTTTTTATTGGAGTTAAAATTGACGTAGATATATGACCGAACCTAACCAACCCTACCTAACCTAACCTAACCTATCTTTATAGGTTAGGTTAGGTTAGGTAGCCGAAAAAGTTAGGTTAGGTTAGGTTAGGTTAGGTAGTCGAAAAACAATTAATTCATGAAAACTTTGCTTATTAGGCAAATTGGGCCTTGCATATTAGGCTGAGAAGTGCGTTCTGGCTACTAGGTACGATATATATATATATATATATATATATATATATATATATATATATATATATATATATATATATATATATATATATATATATATATATATATATATTGTTAAATATGACCGAAAAAGTAAGATTAATAATTCTAACACTAATTTTCTCAATATTTCTTATGTTTCTTTTTACTGTCGATGGTAATTGAAAAATCAATTCTCCAAAATTCATTTTTTTTTATTTCTAGTCTGACATGACGCTTGAAAGTGTTTCGTAATAACTTATTACATTTTCAAAGACTTTAGTTTACACACACACAACTGTAACCTGAAAACATTAACAGAGTTTTACTTATGCTAAACACTTAAACAGCTTGTCTTATATACTCGCATTTGGGTGAGGTGATATGTTGCAACAATTTTGGCTGAGGTGAACAAACTTTTGACCAACACAAGACAGAACACGGAACATTGGGTATTAATTGGATAACTGAGAGGGAAGAATGGAAGTAACTGCAAAGGGCCTATTGGCCCATACTTCCTCTTGATGCTTTTATATTGGTACGGGGTCTTGAAGTGGGTAGAATATAGTAGTGCATTAAATGGCTGTAATTGTGCATTAATTGGCTGTAATTGTGCATTAATTGGCTGTAATTGTGCATTAATTGGCTGTAATTGTGCATTAATTGGCTGTAATAGAAGCATCAAGAGGAAGTATGGGCCAATAGGCCCTTACAGTTACTTCCATTCTTCCCTCTCAGTTATCCAATTAATACCCAATGTTCCATGTTCTGTCTTGTGTTGGTCAAAAGTTTGTTCACCTCAGCCAAAATTGTTGCAACATATCACCTCACCCAAATGCGAGTATATAAGACAAGCTGTTTAAGTGTTTAGCATAAGTAAAACTCTGTTTAATGTTTTCAGGTTACAGTTTGTGTGTGTGTAAACTAAAGTCTTTGAAAATGTAATAAGTTATTACGAAACGCTTTCAAGCGTCATGTCAGACTAGAAATAAAAAAAATGAATTTTGGAGAATTGATTTTTCAATTACCATCGACAGTAAAAAGAAACATAAGAAATATTGAGAAAATTTGTGTTAGAATTGTTAACCTTACTTTTTCGGTCATATTTAACAACATATGTTTACAAGAAAGACTGCTACCAATATATATATATATATATATATATATATATATATATATATATATATATATATATATATATATATATATATATATATATATATATATATATATATATATATATATATATATATATATATATATATATATATATATATATATATATATATATATATATATATATATATATATATATATATATATATATATATATATATATATATATATATATATATATAGTCAATAACGGCTTCTCCAATGGTTTCGTCGAAGACATCATAAGAAGGAAAGTGAAAAGCCATGCAACCTCTGAAGAGACAACTAACACAACACCTATACCCCCTATTAGACTATTTTACAGGAACTTCTTTTCACAGCTCATAAAACGGAGGAAAGGGTCCTGAAAGATATTGTTAATAGAAACGTTATCCCTACAGACAAAAATCAGAGGATACAACTGACGATTTACTATAAAACCAGAAAAACGGCCAGCCTACTCATGAGAAACTCTCCAGACACAAAACAGAACGCTTTAAAAGAGACTAACGTCGTCTATGCCTTCAAATGCCCTCTTGGGGACTGTAAGCTCCAAAAAACCCAGTATATAGGCAAGACAACAACATCTCTTTCTAGGCGTTTAACGATGCATAAGCAACAGGGCTCCATTAAGGAACATATAATCTCTTCCCACAACCAAACCATCGCCAGAGAAATTCTAGTAAACAACACAGAAATCATCGATAGATACAGCGATAGCAGGCGGCTTGACGTTTGCGAGGCACTACACATCAAGAAGTCAACACCAGCAATCAACAGCCAATTATTGCACAACTATATTCTACCCACCTCAAGACTCCGCTCCAATATAGAAGCATCAAGAAATATGGACCAATAGGCTTTCTACAAACACTTCTATTCAATATCCATTGTTTCGTGTTCTGTCTTGTGTTGATGAAATTAATACCCTATTAATACTCTTGTTCTGTCTTGTGTTGATGAAATTAATACCCTATTAATGCCACATCTTGTTCTGTCTTGTGTTAATGCCACATCACCCCTTCCACCTCACTCAAATGTAGATATAAAATCGGAGATGCGTAAGTTCTATTCAGTTGTGTATTTGTGAACTAAAGTCTTTGAAAATGTAATAAGTTTTACGAAACGCGCTCGTGTCGCGTCAGACTAGAAATAAAAATGAATTTTGGAGAATTGATTTTTGATTTACCTCCAACAGTGAAAAGAAATGTACGAAAGATTGAGAAAATTCGTGTTAGAATTATTAATCTTACTTTTTCGGTCATATTTAATAATATATGTCTACAGGAAAGACTGCTACCAAAATATACTATATATATATATATATATATATATATATATATATATATATATATATATATATATATATATATATATATATATATATATATATATATATATATATATATATATATATATATATATATATATATATATATATATATATATATATATATTATTAAATATGACCGAAAAAAGTAAGATTAATAATTCTAACACGAATTTTCTCGATCTTTCTTTCGTTTCTTTTCACTGTTGGTGGTAATTCAAAGATCAATTCTCCAAAATTCATTTTTATTTCCAGTCTGACGCGACACTTGAGCACGTTTCGTAAAACTTATTACATTTTCAAAGACTTTAGTTTACAAATACACAACTGAAACTGAATAGAGCTTACACATCTTCGATTTTATATCTACATTTGGGTGAGGTGGATGAGGTGAAAACAAACTTTCAACAATGGGTATTGAATGGGTATTAAATTCAAACACAAGACAGAACACGAAACAATGGGTATTGAATGGAAGTAATTGTAGAAAGCCTATTGGTCCATATTTCTTGATGCTTCTATATTGGAGCGGAGTCTTGAAGTGGGTAGAATATAGTTGTGCATTAATTGGCTGTTGATTGCTGGTGTTGACTTCTTGATGTGTAGTGCCTCGCAGACGTCAAGCCGCCTGCTATCGCTGTATCTATTGATGATTTCTGTGTTGTTTGCTAAGATTTCTCTGGTGATGGTTTGGTTGTGGGAAGAGATTATATGTTCCTTAATGGAGCCCTGTTGCTTATGCATCGTTAAACGCCTGGAAAGAGATGTTGTTGTCTTGCCTATATACTGTTTTTTTTGAGGCTTACAATCCCCAAGAGGGCATTTGAAGGCATAGACAACGTTGGTCTCTTTTAAAGCGTTCTGCTTTGTGTCTGGAGAGTTTCTCATGAGTAGGCTGGCTGTTTTTCTGGTTTTATAGTAAATCGTCAGTTGTATCTTCTGATTTTTGTCTGTAGGGATAACGTTTCTATTAACAATATCTTTCAGGACCCTTTCCTCCGTTTTATGAGCTGTGGAAAAGAAGTTCCTGTAAAATAGTCTAATAGGGGGTATAGGTGTTGTGTTGGTTGTCTCTT